GGAGAGATTGTATCACCCCTTGAGCTCCCCTTCCCCCACCCACAGCGGGAGTGCCAGGGTGGAGGAGGGGCGGCACCCCTTGGAGAGGAGAGTGCAGGGCTGGAGTGACTCAGTTCAGACATCTGTCTCTCGGGTAGAGTGGGAGTGGGGGTTGGGTTAGTGGGGAACCTCAAGCAAGACCTGGAGAAGGGGAGGGGGAGACCATGCCAAGTAAACTGGGGGGGAGGGGCAGGAGGGAAGTAGGCAGGAGACTCCTGGGTATCCATTTTAAGCACCTCCAGGCACCGCGCTGGTTGGGTGGGTGCGCTGGAGGACAGTTGGAAGGGAGAAGACAAAGAGATCTATAGCAAGGTACTTGTTTCCAGGAGCTTCCAGCTTAGGTGGCCTGCTGTGCTGGGAAAGTTGGCCTGATAACCTTCTCTGTCCTTGTGCAGTGACTGCCATGCCCCCAGGGCCTCTCTGGACCTCCAGTTGGGTCATTTTGAACTGCTCCTTCAGCCGCCCTGACTCCCCGGCCTCTGTGCACTGGTTCCGGGGCCGAGGCAGAGTCCCTGTTCAGGAGTCCCCCCATTATCACTTAGCTGGAAACTTCCTCTTCCTGCCCCAAGTCAGCCCCTTGGACTCTGGGGCCTGGGGCTGCATCCTCACCTACAGAGATGGCTTCAATGTCTCCATCACGTACAACCTCACTGTTCTGGGTAACTCCTCCACTCTGCCTTCACACTTGACCACAACCCCTTCCTGCCCCCCATCACCTCCCCCGTACTTATAAGCCCCCAAACCAGTTCTCCGGCAGTGATGCCACCTGTGATTGCAGTGGGCCTCACTGTCCCACCCCTTCCTTTCTCTTTTCCTTTGCAGCCTTTCAGCGCCTTCTCCCCTTCTAGCTTTTCCCTTGGCCATCCAGCCTCACTTGCTAGCCTTTGGTGTCCTGCTGGCCCACCTGCATTCTGGGGTTCTGAGCATCTTCAATGTTTCCATCTTATTCTGCCCCTTAACACTCTTCAGAGATGGACCACCTCTTTCACGCTTCTGCCTCCCTTCCCTGCAGACCCAGCAGTCCAGAGCCTCTGCACATTCCTCTCCACTTTAACTCGGGGTTCCCTCTTCTCTCCAGGTCTGGAGCCCGCAGTCCCTCTGACAGTGTACGCTGGAGCTGGTTCCCAGGTGGAGCTGCCCTGCCACCTGCCTCTAGATGTGGGAACCCAGTCTTCCCTCACTGCCACATGGGCCCTTCCTGGAGGAGGCCCTGACCTCCTGGTGGCTGGAGACCATGGCAACTTTACACTTCGACTGGAGGCTGTGGGCCAGGCCCAGGCTGGGACCTACACCTGCCGTGTCCATCTACAGAGGCAGCAGCTCAGTGCCACTGTCACTTTGGCAGTCATCACAGGTCAGCCCCAGACGGGAAAGGACAGGGAGGAAAGGCTGGCTGGGCAAAGACTGGGCCAGTCCACTTCATGATGCCAGGCCATGGGGCACAGGTTAGAGGGGCTGCCCCTTGTACCTCCTCTTTTCTCGCCCCCATATAATGAACTGAAACTGAAAATCTCCCCTGAGTCATTGGATGAACGTCCCACTCTTTTGTAAGGGACTCCCCTGCTCTGAATTGGGCGGAGGGTCTGAGAAGTTAGGAGGAGAGGTGGCAAAAGTTCGAATGGTTCAAAAGAGACGGAGTACATTTTAAGAGTCCTTGTCCATGTTGGGGTCAGGGCTTGGGGTAAAGTTGCAGGAAATGACCTGGATTTGGGAGGAGTTAATAAATCAGTCCCTTAGTCGGCAAATATTTACCGAGTGAGGACTTTTCAAGACAGTCTTAAAACAAGCACAGGAAAAAAACTCAGAAAGTATGTGCTGATTGATCAGTAACTATCACAGCTTGGCTGCCACTGCAGTGCTCGCCTGTGGGCACTAAATGGTAGCACTACATGGTAGGTGCTTAATAATGCATGTTGGTTGAATGAATAAATGACTATGCTAACAAGTAATACATCTCCCAAAGGCCAGTGCTGAATTTCTACCTGCTTCCCACATCTTTGCCTAGATCTTGTACCCACACCTCAGCCGTTGGGAGCACTTTTTCCCCACAGTACCATCTTTTCCCCACATCCAGTCCTCTTGTGAAGTCTGCTTTCTAGCAGTAACTCCAGTTGTGTCCCACTCCTCCTGAAACCTGGCCTCCTCCTTCCCCGACGTCCCATCAGTCGACAAAGCCTACCACGTCTTTCTGTCCAAGGTCTTCCCCAGGGTCAGCTGTCTTGAGTCAGTTTTCCATGTTATCTGCATGACAGCTCAACGGGAGAGAGACTGTTGCCCCTGTTTTACAGAGAAGGAACTTTCCCAAGGTCGCCCTGCTGAGAAGTGCCGGACTTGGGTCTAAACTCAGATGTCTGTGCCACCAAATCTTCGAGGTGCTGTCTCTAGATCAGTTAGTCTGTTCTCTAGACATTCAGAAAGAGGGATAGAGATCATGGGTGGGAGGGGGCACACAGGTGCGAGCCACAGCACGGAAGAAGGAAAATGCAAGACATCCTGGGGACCAACTCACCTGACCAATATTGGGGGTTCTGAGCATTCGAGTAGAAAGTCATGTAAAAGAATCTGAAATAGTATTTGTTATGTGATCCGGGCCAGTTTGAATTTGAACAGTCCCCTGAAGGCAGTAGGGAGCCTGGAAAGTTTTGGAGCAGCAGAGTGATCTGACCAGAGCTTTGCCTTGATAAGATTAATTGGGCCATGACCCCGATCTCCTCCCCTCAACCTCACCCAATCAGAGCCCAGGTGAGTCAAGGCGACTGAGACTTGGGAGTTGAACCTATGCTTTCATGTAAAGGGGTCAAGGCCCCCAAAGGTCTCTTCCCTCTGATTTTTTCAGTGACTTCCCAATCCTCTGGGTTACCTGGCAACCTGAGAAAACTGCTTTGTGAGGTGACTCCTGCATCCGGACAAGAGCGGTTCATGTGGAGCCCACTGGACAAGCGGTCTTGGAGGAGTTTCCCAGGCCCCTGGCTGGTGATGCAGGAAGCCAGACTCCTTTCCCAGCCCTGGCAGTGCCATATGTACCAGGGGGAGAGGCTGCTCGGGACAGCGGTATACTTCACTGAGCCGTCTGGCCCAGGTCCGAGACCCCACAGCACCATAGCCCCAGCTCCGAGCAGTCATCTCCATCCCACTTCCAGACCCCCTCCCGCCCCGTCCCCACTCTGCTTTCCAACCAGGGACCTGACTTCTGGCTCTTGTCTAGGCCTGATCCACTTCTGCCACTAATTAGCTGAGTGACCCTGGACAAATCCCTTGGACCCCCTGGGTCTCATTGTTCACATCTGTAATGTGGGGGTGTGGCAAGACGTCCTTTCAGCCATGACCCTCTGCCGAATCCAATCCTGCACTCTCTCCATAGGTGCCCAACGCTCTGGGAGAGCCCCAGGTGCCCGGAAAACGGGCCACTTCCCTCTCCTCGTCCTTGGTGTCCTTTTCCTGCTCTTTTTGGTGACTGGAGCCTTTAGCTTCCACCTTTGGAGAAGACGGGTGAGCCAGGAACCCCCCCTCCCCAGTCCTCAGAGTGCTGACTGGCACCCTTTCCTCAGGAAGATGGGCAAGGTGGACCCCTGGACTTGCCCTTAGAGCCCCTCTCCATGAGCCTCTGCTCTGCAGGGACCCCTCGTGCCTGAAGGACCAGAGGGAGGCTCAGAGGGGCTGAGAGCAGGCCTGGGACCAGGCGGGCAGGGAGGGGCTGCTCCTTCCCTTCTCCCCTTCCTCCTCCTACCTCTGCGTCTGTCTTCCCACAGTGGCGACCAAGAAGGTTCTCTGCCTTAGAGCATGGGACTCACCCACCTCAGGCTCAGGGCAAGACAGGGGACCTGGAGCCGGAGCCCCAGCCGGAGCCCGAGCCAGAGCCCGAGCCGGAGCAGCCCTGACCGGAGCTGAGCACCCCGTGCACCCGCAGCTCAGTCCAAATAAACTCCCCGTCAGCAGCAAGCCCGAGTCTGGCCGCTTCTTGCCCAGGGAAGATTCTGTCTCTCCCCAGCCCCCGAGGCCTCCCTTCTCGCAGCCCGGTCTCCTGACCTACTTTCCCCAGCCAGTCTCTCATCTGCCCCCTTTCCGTTCCTGGTTCTTCGTGATTTTTCCTTCCTGGTCTCTCTTGCCTGTTGTCTCTCCCGGACGGTCGTTTTTCTGGAAGGTCCGACACACCCTCACCCCTCACCCCTCCAGCCCTCTCCTCCGTCCTTCTATCGTTCTGCTCATGTCGCGTGGCTGCCCTGGTTTCTTTACATTTTGTCCCTCTGACCCACCGCACGCTCACCCCACCTCAGCACCGCGCTTCGCCCTCCGGGTGCAGCACGCGCGCGCGCGCGCGCGCACGCACACACACACACACACACACACACACACTCCTCTCTCTAGTCCTCCCGGAGGTGGGGTCTCGCAACCTTCCTGGGTGGCAGCCTCCGCCCCACCCCCACGATCCTCAGCCCTGGGCGCCCTGTCTGGTCCCAGACATGAGAACACATTGCCACCCAGTGGTCTCTGTTTGTCACACAGCACCCGAGGTCATGGGGCGGGCTGGCGCAGCCCGGGGAGAATAGCAGTGAGGGGCCAGGCGGCACAGATGCCCGCGTGCTGGCTCTGCCTTTGTGGCTGCACCCTCCGTGGTGCATAGGAGCGCGCACTAGCAGCTGTCTCCTGATCTGTGCTCCCTTCAGGGCAGGGACTGAGCAGCACATCTCCCAGCTGGGGAAGTTTAGGATCCAAGTTTGACACAGGGGAGTCCCAGGAACAGAGGCCCCACGCGGGGAGGAAAGCAGCCAGCAAGACTCTGATGGCCGCTGAGGCCCGAGGAGTCAGGAGACCAGGATTCTGATTCTGGTAGTGCTGATGTGACCAGAGCTAGTCTTTCTGAGCCTCGGTTTACTCACCAATTATATGGGACAATGATGATAATCCAACCAAACGAGTTGTTGAGAATATACTGGATAATAAAAGGGCTTTGAAAACTGTGACATGTGCTGAGCACCCGTTTACGAAAGAGGAGCAGGCCTGATCTGGTCGTGGTCGTGCAGGGAAGATGAAGTTCCCCCTCTCTCTCTCCCTCCCACCCTTGGAGGGACTATTCATCTGGGCTTCAGCAGAGCATGCACATGCACGCTTGCACACACACACACAGCCTCACCCCACCGAGACCCAGCCTTCTGCCTGCAGTGTGTGCAGGGCTCTGGACTTGGGCTGAGGACGCTGTCACCCTGGACAGAAAGGAGAACACGTCACAAGTGGGGGAGCTGGCCTGCAGGAGCAGGAGGCATGTGGTGCACAGACGTGCTGTGACAAAGGCCCTGCTGCTGTCCCACCGAGCCTGTGTGCATGGGGACACACACAAACCATGGAGCTGAGGACCCGTCCCATGGAGACACAATGGCCAGAGATTTGGGGACAGAGGACAGGGAGCAGGGAATCTACTTTGTGCAGAGGCCAAGTGGGGAGTGGCGCCCTCTGAAGCCTGAATAATGAACCGTTTAAGGCCATCTGAGTTTCCCAGCCTCAGGAGGGTGGTGGCCCTTGCCTTGTCACAGGCAGGGACGCAGTGGCACAGAAAGGAAGCTCTGGTGCTGGCCAGGGATAGTCACACTGTAAGGTGAGGCCTGAGTTCCCTTTGCGAAGCCACCGGAGCAGCATCCCACCCTGTGCCGTGGGCTTGGGGCGCTGCCGAGGAGACTCCTGGGCTCTACCCACAGCCCTGCTCTCCACCAGGTTCCAATGGTGCTGGGGTTTCCTGGAAAGTTCTGTGGGTGACGTTTTTCCTCTCTGCTAAGTAACACCCGCTGCCCTTTGGGCTTGTGAGAGGAGTTACTGAGGAGTCACTGGCTTTGTGCAGGGACTTCCCCTCGCTCCTGCACAAAGGGGACAGGGAGGGGACAGGCAGAGCGAAGGGCCACCTGTTCCTCCACCCACTAAGGAAGAGGAAAGCAGAGGGCGGAAGGAAGAGGGTGCAGGGGGCTTGTGCATACAGCGCTCCTTTGATTCATCTTACCCTCTTCTCTGTGGGGTCTCTCCTAGCAGGGTGACACATTCCTGCTCCTGCCCCTCTTCTCCCAAGCCCCCTCCCCAACCAGCAAGATAACCTCCAGCCCTTTTCCTGTCTTCTTAGGGCATTCCAGGGAGCTAGGTTAATTCATCCTGTAACCCCAAGTTTATCTGCAGGGAGCTAGTGGGGGCTGTGGGCAGAATCATCTTAGGCCCTTGTTAAAAAGGAAGGAGGTGTGCTAGTTGTCCACTGACACATAACAAATCACAAAACTCGTGATTGAAAACAATAAACATATTATCTCACAAGTTCAGGAATCTGGGAGCAGCCTGGCTGAGTAATTCTGGTGCAGGTCTCTTTTAGGGTGGCTGCCCAGATATGGGCCAGTGTTGTAGTCATCGGGAGGCTTGGCTGTGCTGGAGGATCTGGTTCCAAGAAGACTCCCTCAAGTGGCTGCTGGCCTGAGACGTAGTCCCTCCCAACATGGACCTCTTCATAGGGCTGCTCACGACAGAGCAGGTCTTTATAACCTCATCTGGAGAGTGACATTCTATCCCTTCTGTCTGTCCTGTTCTGTTGGTCGCAGAGACCACTCGGTAGGAAGGGATAACACACGGGCATAAACTGAAGGAGGCAGGGATCATTGAGGGCCGTCTGGCACCATCAGGCCATCAGAGTGGGGAACAGTGCCTGAGAGAGACCTAGGCCAAGAGCGGAAGAGTCCTCTCTGAGTACCTTCACCCCCAGCCCTGCCATGAACCTGACAGCCTCCTCCATGTCTGCCATCCAGAAGCTCTGGAAGCCAAATGAAGTCCAGAGCTTTGCCAAGTCAAGTGTGTCAGGCAAGAGGCCATGCTGTGCTCATTCAGACCTGTGGTCACATTTGCCAGTGTGTCCCCCATCCCTGATTTGGTCTCATCTTCACGGGTCAGGGCAGCCCCAGAAAGCTCCCAGCCCCACCTGCCAGAGGTATGAGGGCTCAGACCTGGGCCCCGGCTGCTACACCTCCCACTGAGGAGATGAACGAAGAGCTTAGGTTTCCCTGCTCGGGCCCACCCCAAGGTGGAGCTCACCCTTTGAAGGGAATGAGGCTGGGGTGATGATGAGTTCTATCTGTTCCACTCTGCGGCTGACAGTTTCTCCAAAGGGCTGCAGGTGCCAGCTGGCTGAGCCCAGGCTGGGCTCTGAAATTTGCCTGCTCATACCTTCCATGGGGCGGGAGGTCTAGGAACCATCCTCTGAGAAATGCAGAAAGTGGTCCTGGGGTCAGAGGGGATGTGGCCGGGGTGGAGGTGGGTCAGCCTGGCAAGACTCTGCTTCCCAGGGAACAGTCTGTGTGGCCCCTCCCCCATGGCCTCCATCTCTGAGCCCTGCCCCCACCCCCTTTGCAGAGGGTATCAGTGCAGCTGCAGATGTTCTGGTAAGGAGGTCACCACAGGACCGCACCTGGGGCCTCCAACTTTCCTGCTCCTCAGGCGGCCTTACTGCTTCCCCCGTAGCCCTGTCCTGAGGCTGGATTCCCTCAGCCTCCATCTCTTTCTCCCTTCCTGGCCTCCTCGCCCCACACCCCAGCTTGGACATAGAATACATGCAGCATATTTATCAGGAACCAGGAGACTTCTGGAAATCCCCAGGCTCCATGCCAACAGTCATATGATGGGGCAGATAGCTTAACTTCAGTTTCTCTTGTGCAAAATGAGGATAGTAGTACCTACTGAAAAGGTTTGGCACGCGCTAATGTACGTGAAAGTGCTTTGAAAATGGAAAATCTCTCTATAGATGCGAGGGATCGTGGCGATGCTGAGGCTCAGAGGCCCCGGATGAGCTTGTTGACCTCATACCCTCTCCACTGCTGTGGGAAAAGACTTCCATTCACCTCATCCTGGACTTTTTTTTTAATTGAAGTATGGTTGATTTACAGTATTATATTAGTCTCAGGTGTAAAGCAGAGTGATTCAGTATTTTTATAGATTATACTCCATTTAAAGCTATTATGAAACAATGGCTATATTTCCCTGGGTTGTACAACATATTCTTGTTGCTTATTTTGTACATAGTAGTTTCTCTTAATCGCCTACCCTTTCTTGCCCTTTCCCCCTCCACCTGGCATTTCTTTCTTCCTTCCTTCCTTTTTTTTTTTTTTTTGGTGGAGGTATTGGGGATTCAACCCAGGACTTAGTGCTTGCTAACTGTGCGCTCTACCACTGAGCCGTTACCCTCCCCGCCTGGCCTTTCTTAATGCAGGGGAGAGGCCGTAGGATGAGAGGGATCTTCCAGGGACTGGGGACCAAGCAAGAAAGCCCAAATCCCAGTTCCATCAGTTGTGGTTACTAGCTTTGCAACTGTTAGCAACTCTGTCAAACGCTTCAAGCCTCAGTTTCCTCATCTGTATGGTCTGAAAAACAATTCTTATGTCTGATCATTGTTGTGCAAATTAAAGACACAACCATATAAAGCACACAACAGTACTAAGTGTTCAATATAAACTTGCCATCTCTTCCTCTTTTCTTTTCCTGTTTAAACACCCCAGAGGGAGAGCCGGGTTCTTGGGACATTGACTCCTGGGAACCTGTCTTCACAGGCAGCCACAGGCAACAGACCCAAGAGCTGGGTGGCATCACACAGTCCACCTGTTACCAACCAGTAGGTCCTGCGTTCCATCCAACCCTTGGAATGCTTTGTGTGATTGAAATGTTGTAGAAAAACGTGTTATAGCTCAGTGTAAAAGCTCGGTGTTACAGCTCAGTTGTGACAGCAACTTGCATCCGGGTGAGAGACCAAGCAGCCTCCCGAGAGTTGGAGAATTCAGGTTTCTTACGCCACAGGGCCCACAGAAGTTAACACTCCAAGCTCTGGACTCCATCTGTAGGTTTACACAGGCTTTTATAGGCTGCCAGTTTACACTTTGCAACATTGTATGCAAATAAGGTATAACAAAAGTTGACTAATTAGGAACAAGCTTTGTAGAAATGGACCAATCAGGAGGGAGAGAAGTAACCAATCAGGAGTGAGC